CGTCACAGGAGCGCCGCCAACGGGAGGCCCGCCCGCCGCAGTGGCGGCGCTGATGCTGCCGCAGCTGCTGCTGCCACTGCTGTCGCTGCCGCTGCTGTTGCTGCTGCTGTCGCCGCCGCCGCTGTCGCTGCCGCTGCTGCCGACGCTGTCGCTGCTGCCGCCGTCCCCGCCGCCGCCGCTGTGCCCGCTGTCCCCGACGCTGTCGCCGCCGCTGCCGCTGCTGGCGGCTGCAAAGACATCGCCGCCGACGCAGCAGCAGCAGCACTCGGCGCCAACCCTGGCAAAGGTGAAGTCCGTCAAAGACGGGGCCTCGGCGTCGCTGCCGGCGCTGACGCCCGGCGTCGCGCTGATGGCCACCTGCTCGTCCGCCACGGCTGCGCAGGCGCCCGCTGTGGGGGGCTGGAACACCGTCGGAAATAGCTGAGCCTGCCGGTTTCCGGCGAAGCTCGATGGTACCTCGGTGGTACCCGGTGGTTTACCGGTGCACGATGGTAAACCGGCCAGCCTGGCCGGGAAACCACCGTGCACCATCCTGCCACCACCGAGCATGGTATTACCAGCGGAGCATGGACGGTATACCATAGAGCCACACCTAAGACGTGTTGCAAGCACCAGAGGCATCAACGCTGCTGATCAGGGCTTCTGGCCCCATACAAATCTTTGCATACAACATAAGTTCACAATTTGTTAGGTTTGCAGCAGTACACAACAAACATACTGTACCTGCTTGTTAGGCCTTGCCCCGCTCAATGGCAGTCATATATAGCTTATATACTGATATATGACTATACTTATATGATTACTTGATTAGTACTTGATTAGCCATCTTTGAGCCCTGATACACTCTGAGATCATGAACAGAAAGTGCAGCACATCCCTGATCACCATGTTCCAGCAAGCTGCGGCCAGGCGGCTCACCGCATTGAAAAGCCATGTTCTTTGCTCCTACAATCAGCGCAATTGTGGGCTGGGGCCACGCCGATCAGCCAGCTGAGATGTCTGCCATCCCCAATCGGGGCCATGTATGCCACCATCAAGCGAAGATGCTGCCAATGCTTGTGATCTAGGCTTTGGAAGGTGCGCAATGCCGATCACCCGTGGACCATGCGAGCTGCTGGTTTGAAGCGCTGCGCTGCCTTGCTGCAGCAGACCATGCAGCGGCAGCAGCAGCTGGAAATGCAGCATGCTGTGCTGCATTGTTGCACCAGGCACCACAGCAGCAGCGCTAGCCGCAGGCTGTTCGTTGACAACCTGGTTGCAGCAGGCGCCGCCGCCGCACTAGCAGCAGGCGCTGCTGCAGCGATGCGCACTAATAACGCCCGTGCCGCTTTGGTCGATGCTGAACCCAAAATTGCTGACCTGCTGTGCAGCTCTGACGCAAGTTGCACGTGCTGAACGGCGAAAGCAGGTGTGTCGCAAAGCGCACAGCCCCGCACTCATGTTTTGTGTGGTGCCCGCATGCCCGGGCGCCGTGCTCCAGTCATTTTGTCTGCACTTAAACGCAAATTACAGGCGTATGGCGCTCACTGCTGATGGGCATGCTGCGAGATGCGTGCACGTTCAAAACAAAGCACGACGCCCCAACTGCGGTCCACTTTGCCCTTGCTGCTGCGCTCAATCACACCTGAACGCGCTCAGGCAGGTGTCTAGATCTTCAAAATAAAAGTCCAAAGCTACACTGATGTGAACATCCTTTGTGAACTTCGTGAAAATTGGACGCGGCGCACCGGCGCCGCATCCGCCGCCAACGTGCTCTCTACACCACAACCGTCTGGCGTGCACGCCCGTGGCGCGCCGCTGCAGGCAGGCGGCCTGCCGTGAGGGCGCCCAGAAAGCTGCTGCGCGCACAGAGCAGTTGTCGTTGCCGCTGTTGTAGTTATGCGTTTGAGCACCGC